GTCGCTAGCCGATTGAGCCATTGCCAAATAGATGAGTGAAAGGCGTTTGGACTACGCCTGTTAGCTTTTAGGTGCTTCTAGGCTTTGGTTCGGCTTTCCATTTTTTGGCTTTCACATCTCTTGATGTACCAGGTTGTGAGTTGTCGTTTGTTGCGACGCTAAATGATTAGCAACTTCTGCCGCAAGACCATGTCAGCGCATAGCGGAAGCCTGAGCGCACACTGAGCTAAGTATTTAAGGTTCCGTGTCAGTGTCGATGTACAGCTTGTCAAAAGCAACTTTTCGAGGTCAAAAGTGAGAAAAGGTTTTGCTGTTGTCTCTGCTGTTAGAATTTACGGCATGTCTTGGAAGTTTGTGGAGTGCAGAAAACACGACGGAGTTTGCATCACAAAAAGTGTAGGCAGACGCACCGGGCTGGAGGTTCGGAAAAACGATATTCCGCAGCAAAAAAGTGCCCAAGTAGTTTCTGTTGAAGTGATGGTTTTTTCAAAGCAAAAACCTTTTCGAGACGCTCTGAAAAATTGAGTGTGTCGGTAAGGGTATTGCATTTCTCACTCGAAGTTTTTTCCTTTGAAGGCATCCACAGAAATTTTTGGAACACTTCATGCGAGTTTTTGTAGCTGTTTTGTTCATGATTGCGCTGCCTTGCACATGAAGCGCGGCAAGTGCAAGAAGCTTGCAACCTTGTCTGAAAGCCACTTTTGCTTGAGAGTCGCGTTTGAACCTTTTCTGCGTTCTCGCAAATGTAGCCCACTGTCGCATTGTCCAGATGTAGCCGTCAGGTGTTGAATTTAGTTTCGATAGTCGTCTTAAAAAGAAACAGTTGCAGCCAAACTTGCAAGGCTCTGAGAAGGACCCTTTCTCGTGGTGAGGTGGCTTGTTACTGATCTCAGAACAGATTGTGGTGTCAGCATCGTTTTTTCAAAACTGTGCTTGAAGTGCTTCACAATTTCGCTATCTCGCTGCATTCTGCGCTCAAGTATCTTTCCCAGCTGACACTGAACCCTTTCTCTGTACACATGTGGCGCAACAGACTTGCTGGCCTGTCCGTCTGAGCGGCAGAGATGGTGGGAGTCATAGATGGGTCGATGCCAGGTACCGTCCTCCTGACCCTGGCCGCTCTGATAGCTTCTCTGGCGGCTGCATTGAGTCCGATTCCGAGACATTGCTTCAAAGAGCGCAAGCGAAGCGCCAGTGACCCACGCGTAACCGTCATAATCCGTAAACATTGGCTTCTTCTGGATCTCAG